TATATTATTATTATATATACATAGTGTGTGTGTGTGGATATTATATATATATATATATATATATATATATATATATATATATTGATGTATCTTTATAGACATACAAATATTAAAGCGTATATTTGTTTTTACACTTTCACTTGTTGTGTACGTATGAATATACACATGTTTGTTCTCATGTAGGTACATATATTATGCATTAATCTTGATTCTCGATGGAGTGGCATTGTCATAGACGTTACTTTGATTGCATTATATCGAAGAATTGTTATCGGCGCACCAGACAACTAGTTTTGAATAATCAGGCCAGGGCTTTTACATGTTCAGATGTGTTATGTTCAACTATTAAGTCGATATGCTTGTATTCATATATTTAAAAGGATGCTGTGTGTTTTCATTGACCGTTCTAGGACATTATGTTCTGTTCCTGGATAATTTTGTTGGTCTGTTTTCTTGCATGTTCTTTGCCAACTACTGTGTGCAGGCAAGCAAATCATTGACATTGGCTACCCCACGTCATTAATTTCCTTCTTTGCAGTAAGCATCCATCGTCGACGTTTGTTGGAGTCGGTCCGTTTGCACCCCATGCGATCGCGAAGTTCGTTCAAGTGGCCGAAAGGAGGTCTTTTAATGTGATGTTCAATATAGCGTTTTGCTTCTGCTTGTACGCTGTGGTTTCTCTGGACCCAGACATCCATCAGACCGTATACAAATTCTCATGGAATTTTTGGGCGGAGCAATCGGTAGAATCCGCTATTCTGCTGCCGAATTCTGACAGCGCCAGCGTGTTGACTGTGAGAATTGCCATCGCCAACTGGATTTATTCTCGACCGCCAATGAATTCTCTATTTTGCTTATAATGATCCTCCTCCCAAAGGCTTGCTATTGTTGCGGGCTGATGAAAGTCCTCTATGCCTCCCGCATGATTTCTCGCGAATCCAGGAGCTGTGGTGCATATTCTTTTCACCCATTTTTGGCCTCGAGCCAACCGATCACGCAATTGATAACCCCTCAAATAAGCCTATCTGATGTATCGCACGTCGGCAAGGCTTACATTCGAATGCTTTTGTGTAGTACGTAGAGCCAAAGCCCAATGGTTAGAAGCAGAGTACTAAGCACTCACTGATTATCTACGGAAATATAGCTAAAGCATCGTCTGAACTACAAATCTCTATCAGCTTTCTCATAATAAACTTCGAATATCTAATTTTCTGGAAGTCGAGTGTACTGACTTTAGGGTACGAGATATTCGCATTGGTATGTGTACAGTCCACGTCTAATAAAAGAAAAAATGGGTGAAGTTCAAGGCAGTATCTGCCGCATTTGAGTCACCTTAGTGAATGATTCAAATATATTGCAGTTTGATGCTCATAAATCTGATCGTGTACGTTTCTTTTGCGTGAGAGCCGTCATAAGCTCTTGTTCAATCAGAACCAATGTTCGTACCTCGGCTCGTCTGACTACACGCTGAGCAGACGCTCTCTTACAATGACTAATATTTACTAATAAGTGGTTACCTGGCATGAAAATGGCTGAAGAATTAGCCTAGTGCCCTAGAGTATCAGATGTCGATCTCGGTTCAGTCCTCTGCTGATCTGAATCCCAACTTGCTGCGGCTGTACTGTCCTTCAGTGTGTATCCGATGTACCTCCACCCACTTGGTCCACCCAGGAATATAAGCACGTTGATGATGGCTACAGTCTAACACGCAGAGGTTTCTATAGTGCGATCACGAGTCACTTGATAATGAATTAAACACCATTCGAATTTCGCTTTCTCGGGTTACTATCGTCCATATCAGTCCCAATGCTTGGCCGTTTACTCTCCCTGCCACTAGCCGTTGAGTATTTCCTGCTGCAGATATTGTATATTTCAATAGTATGTGCTGTTCAATTTCATATCAGGACTGTAGTTGAAGACAGAACTCCCATAAGTACATTACATGATCGCCAACAAGGTTGACACGATTACTGCAGAATAAACAGAATTCTCAAGCTAAAGCTAGGACAATATGGCAGCAATGGATACGCATATATTTATTGCTCCGGGCAATTGAAGTAAAAAAATTATAGTCCATATACGGGAAGGCCATTCATTTAATGATAATACATACATCTCTGAAACCAGTTCCGCACTTTAGCATACAGTGCAATATGAGCCTGTGCTCTCTACATACCCAGGAGGCTCGTGTATACATCTTGCCAATAGACTTATTCCTTCATATGATCCGTCTTCAACTGTGACAATCAAATCATCTACTTGTATATCCTTTAACGTGTCACTGGGATTTGGTCGATTCTTGTCTTCACTTTCTGTCATAATCTTTGATACCCGTGTCACTGATAATCTGTCATGGAAACCCGTCATGAACGGAAGAAGCTTGTGAAAATTCTAGATGTAATACTGACTACACGTACTATTGAGTGCAAAGTCCGAGCATGAAGAGCGAATTGAAGTTCGAAATGAATATCCCGTATACATACCTTCTAACTAAAGAATCTGATATATTGCTGCCGTCCTCTAGAGGGGCTGCTGGTACATCTGAACCAGCATGTCCGAATATAATGCTATTCCTTCGCAAGAAGAAATGAACCTGTGAAAAAATTTAAAATTACAAAAGATAAAAATATATACTGCAGTTGCGTACTGAGCGCACTGAATGTAAAGTTTGATTGACGATTGAAAACACGCGTGGGTCTTGTATATTGAGTCCCAGTTCAGGGTATACAACCAGATTGATGAATCAACACAAACTATTACATACCTGGTGTTCATTGTCGTCGGTCCTATCTCTCGGTTCTGATTTCGAGATATGGGAAAGAAGTCGCGAGTTCGTTAAAACCATAAATAACAGGCTAAAAAGATATAATTCGAGTTCGAATTTGCACCCATAGGGTCAAAATTTGAAACTGACCTTGTGCTAACCACCCAACAATAAGAAGCGCCCACTGTAACGCGTAGCAGAAACGAAGTACCCAACAGTAATACGAATATATGAGCACCAAACTAATACCTGCTATATCGAAATGTCCCTGGATCCAATTCATGGAGGGCTCAGTAGGTTGTGCAGCCGTGTTTAATGCATGAAAGTAGCCATAGACTCCCACAAAATTGTACTTGGTGGATAAGCCAACAGTTTCTTCTTCGTCCTCGTCGGGGATTATATCTCCGCCGGTAATTTCAGCCTGTTCATCCTCGTCCTCTGGTTCTTCACTTATAGCATCTCGAGGATTTGCTGTCGATAGTGTGTCAGGGCCGAATCGATTCGTTTGATTGAAATCTTATATCTTGATTCGATATTCAAGCAATCGACGTCCCCCATATAACACAAGCAATTCTAATACATTCCCTTAAATATATACCTGTGTCTCTTAGTATTTCCCTAAGTGAATCTTCAGAGACGCCAAGAGAAAGTTACAGAGAAAGCCTGAACAGAGTTACAAAACATGTAAAACTTATTTATAAAGATGAGCAAACTATAATATAAAATCATCACTAGAACTATACTTACAAATATCTATACATATATAGAGAGAGAGAGATATATATATAAATGTATATAGATATATATATATACTCAACCAAATAGATAGATATATATATATATATATATATATATATATATATATGTATAAACATACATACATACATATATATAATATATAATATAATATATATATATATATACGGATATATTTATGTACGATATGAGTGATTCTTCGAAACATCTGAGCTTACATATTGAAGTTGAACATACATAATCTATTCCTCTTTCGCATGTAATAGGAGAAAAGTGCGAATTGGATAGCCGGTCGAGAGATAACTCAGCATACTTCAAATCAGTCAAGCCACGGAACACACGACAATATGGTAGAAATAAGGCACCAATGCTTTGTCTAAGTATACCTCTGCCAGTCGCCGGGCCCTTTCTGTCAGGATCGTATTTTCCACGACCACCCTTACAAGCGGTGAACCCATACGTAGGGGACACTAATCTGAATCCATCTGTCGGGCTATTCCTGGCGTAAAATTGCCAGCGGCCTGTGGGAAAGTAGTTGCCCATTATAATTGACTTTGGCTCAGGTTATGTAGTTAAGTTCGGCTAGCACAAAGCACACATTTGAAATTGTGGTGTGGAGCCAACGCTCCGCATGTTTCTACACATCATTCGCTGTAAATATATTTATACTTCGAAAATCAAAGCCTACATTCCACCAGAGTATCAGGCACACACATAGCAATGTACCTTGCAATCTCACACAAACGTGATAAGGATGAAATACCACGAGACAACCGCAAATGTTCATCTTGCATGAGGTAGAGAGCCTAACTTCGTGTCATCAGGCACTGTCTTTTATTGTGAGTCAATGGCAAATGAATAGCCCAGAAGTAATTGCTAAGTACATGTACACACCTAAAAGTGAGGCGATTCCGGGCGTAGAAAACGCAAGCGAATCAACGTCCAGCGGTGCCACGCCCGTGTTGAGTTCTTTACCCTCAGCGGTAGAGCCTGCAGTTGAATAAATCCCACATTTAATACGATGCAACGCACGTGTGATAAAAATTCATATCACGATTGATACAATTTATCTAGCTACTGTTGAGCAAAGGTAAAGTAAAGCGATGCAAACATAACACCCTGCTACGAACTTTGAAGTCGAATACGTGATTCTCAAATTACTGAAAATGGGTACATAACTCAAAAATGGACAGAAAACATTATATTACTGGCAAGAAGAGCGAATTATACATACATACCTTTTACTGAATTTCCATTCACCTCCGTCATCGTGTGACATGAGCAGGGTTGCACACAGACACTAGCACTGCTACTAACACTCAACTGTCAACAGCGACGGTGTATTTTTCAAAAGTGTACGCATATCTGCTGTATAATAATAATATTATGTTATGCATATTGCATAGCCTCCCGCCTCAAGAATAAAATTTCAACAATCATGAATCATCGACAACCGGCAAAATGAGTAAAACCCGACGATGCATTTATGTGTGTAAAAGTTCGTGTAAATAGTTTTATTTATTATTCTACAAATGATTTATACAGGCGGGGGCCCATAAATATATTGTGTACTATATTCAGCACAAACACTATTAACACCGATACGATGGGAGAGGAAATCGATGGCAGCCTTGGCTATGGCTCCTCATTCCCTTCGGATCTGGGGTTTGGGGATGAATTCCCTGACATAGAATCAACGTCCGTGAGTGAAGCAAAGCCTCGGATATTGCTTATGGGTTTGCGAAGGTGTGTCACGACAACTCTGCTTCGAGATTGTCGCTGCATTTATATATAGGATAGGGTTCTGAGCTTTTGATGTTCCTCATTATTGTGGTCGATATTAGGCAACTTTAAAAGCATGCTGTTTCTTCAAAGTAAGCGCTGAAAGCGAGTGTTTCTTTTACTGACTTGCAGGAGTGGAAAATCATCGATACAGAAGGTGGTGTTTCACAAAATGTCGCCCAATGAAACGCTATTCCTCGAAAGCACCAGCAAACTGGTCAAGAGTGACATCTCCAACAGCTCGTTCGTGCAGTTCCAAGTATGGGATTTCCCAGGCCAAGTCGACTTTTTTGACTCAGCCTTCGATTCTGAAACTATATTTGGTGGTTGTGGCGCTCTGGTGTTCGTGATAGACGCCCAAGACGACTACTTGGAAGCACTGGCAAAACTTAACGTCACAATCACCAAAGCTTACCAAGTAAATCCGGATATTACTTTTGAAGTTTTCATCCACAAGGTTGATGGTCTTTCGGATGACCATAAAATCGGTATGTGCTGTTAGCTTCTTTGTGGGACTGTCCTGTGGACTTGCATACCGACGCGTTATTACCTCGGCTGCAAGACCTACGTTTTCTCATTGTAGCGCACCGTTGAACAAAAGACTTCATGTAATTCAATATGAACGCAACATCGATTATAAGCAGCTATTAGTATCTTGAGTTTAATACACACACATATATATATATACATATATATATATATATATATATATATATATATATATATATATATATATATATATATATATATATTATATATATATATATATATATATATATAATATAT